GTCTGTTCTTTGTTGTCTGCTCTGAATAGAGGTGTGTACCAGTTAGAAACACAATTCAAACTTTCCATCAGCACTACTTCTGAAACCCACAGAACCACACGACAGAAACGACACATGAGCGCAAAGTTTACTGATGCTGCAGAGGAAGCAGTTCACTGCTGTATAGAAGCAACAGAATGGTGCCACACTTAGAAATGAAATGTAACAAAAAGCAAACTTTAGTGAGGACAATTAAAACAATTCATCCATCCATCCATCTTCATCCGCTTTATCCGGGGCCGGGTCGCGGGGGCAGTAGCCTAAGCAAAGAGGCCCAGACCTCCCTCTCCCCAGCCACCTCCTCCAGCTTATCCGGGGGAATACCAAGGCACAAAACAATTAAAACAATTCATTACATTTATATTTTAGTTACGCTTTGTTACACTATATGCAGACAGACTTATACAACCACTGAGAGTGATTACAAGGGCTGTTTTTTGAAGTCTTTATCTTCCAGCTCTGATCTGACGTGTTTTGAAGTCAATCACTCCAACTCAGTGCTCTTTGCTGTTATTTATCGTCCCCCAAAATACAATGAGAATTTCATAAATGACTTTTCAGAATTTCTACCCGGGATAATGTTCTTATTATGGGAGATTTTAATATCCATGTCTGCTGCGCTGACAAAGGAGGAGAAGTTTTATTGACTTTTAATGTGGTCCAGTCCATACCTGGTCCTACACATGAACATGGACACACACTAGGCCTGGTCTTGTCACAGAGTCTACCTGTGTCTAATGTGGAAGCTGTCGGATCATTAACCCTTCTACTGCTGCCCCGTTCTCCTCTGCTTTTAGCCAGCTGTCTGTCCCCACTGTTTTCAGCTGGGAGTTGTTCTGAGAGTGAAAATAAATATAAATAATATAAATTGCTTCCTTGCTTGCCCCATGGCCAAGTAGATGAAATCACAATGGTTGTACTTATCTTTGATGAAGATGAGAAAGCGCACTGGGCAGAGGTAGAGAATTTAATATCGGGAGGGGCCGTGCTGACACCTACTGCTTTCTGGCAGGAAGCACCATGCCCCTCCTGTGTTTTAAATGCACTTTAGAACAGCACGCAGCAACACAACATATGAGAGGGCGGAGTTAGGTATGGGGTCTTCACACCCCTGTTCTTTGCACACCATCGGGGCAGGGGGGCTGAGAGGAGTTGGCAATCTGTTTGAGGTCTGTGACACTGGGCCTCCCCGCAACTGCTGGGCCGGCGGTGGTCTGCTTGCCCCCACAGCAGGGAAAAGGGTAACATATCTTGTGTCTGGGGATTGATCCCCCTCGTGGGGGCAGTGATACCTGGACCTGGGAGTATATCTGTATGTCTGGGGAGTAGGAATAGGTGTATAGTGCTCATTTCTGTTTGTCTCCACATTGGGTGAGTTCTGAGTATTTGTATTTGTGTGAATGAGGGTGGGGAACGTATGCTTGTGTCTGTGTGTGCCAGTTGGTCTATGTCTATGAGGTCGAGTCCCCACATCCGCCTCTCCTGGAACATCTTAGGGCCCCCAAGGGGTGGAGGCCTAGCTCCACCCACCACACTACCTCCCCGTGGCCGAT